AAGATAACAGGCTATACGCAATGTATGAATAATAATGTTCGTGTGCAAAATGTGTACTATATTGGTAAATGCATATTATTATAGAATAGTAAAATAATATCTTTTATTTCTCTCCATTTAACGACCACTCTTTATAACGCCGAAAAATGTTCAGTTCAGTAATATTAGGTACTAGTCACAAACTGCAACTTAATTTCTGCATTTCTAATCTATTCCACATGGCGTGTAGAGTCTACTTGTTTGGAGAAAAAAAATAATTCGATCTAAATATTCTGTTTTTCGGTGAAAGCATACTTAATACATATTTGTCTTTGGTTAGGCTGATATATATTGTAGTCTTTTAGCTGACAACGTGTCTTATCCCAAATGATTGCCTGCAGGACGTGCAAGAATCAATTTAGAATTATGGAGGCTCTGATAGAGGAGAACACTTCCATTTTAGGCCTTATTCAAATGCGACCCTGGATACCTTCTTACATTACTTCGTCACTTGGCAATGTTCCAACTCACAAGCACGTTGCGTCCCGCTGAACATAAGAAAATAAATGACGTTCATTCAGAAAAAACGACGATGACGTCCGATGTAGATTGCTACAGAGAAGAATAGCATGGCCCTTTTATACTTACATGAAAATATTGTAAATAAATATATTTAAGGATGCATCCAAACTTCTTTTCTTGACTTTAATCTTCTTGGTGTCGGTCGATGACAAATCTTCTACATCGGGGACATTAATAATGATTGAAGATTACTTAAACCTACCCTAGTTTGAACATTATAGACATGACCAGTTATTCTCTGCTTTATTTTGGTCAATTATTTATTAGTGTAGCATATTAGTCTTATGTAAGTAAAGTGATCCTACCTGCTCAGAATCAGTAACTGGTGAAACATGTCATAATTAAAGAACCTACTACCTAGAAAATATGCTTGATTTTGGAGCTCTCTGCCGTGCCGAAAGTATGACCTACTCCAAAAATAAGTCCCACGATGATTTTAAAGGATAGTTTTAATATAAGCCCTATCCCGAAAATAGGGCCTATTGAAAAAAGCATTTGTGACAGTGTAGGCTGTAAGTCTCGTTAGCATTTAATATAGCATAAAACATGAGGCATGTTTTGCTTTTGTCGGAGTTTCAATATTCAAGTTTGGTTCAGCATTTTTGGATAATAAATAAGATTAGGTAGCGAAAAATTGCAATTGTCACAATAAAATTTCGGGTCCTACGTAGATTGATATTCGGGGAAAGCCCGTATTTACATT